TCCGCCTCAGCCTTCCGAGTAGCCGGAATTACAGGCGCGCGCTACCATGCCTGGCTGATTTTTTGATTTATTGTAGAGATGAGGTCTCGCTGCCCAGGTGGGTCTCGAACCCGCGGGCTCAGGCAATCCACTCACCTCAGCCTCCCAAAGGCGCTGGATTACAGGCTGAGCCACTGAGCCCGGCTATTCTTTTTATTTTTGTAGACAGAAGGTCTCTCACTATGTTGCCCAGGCTGGTCTTGAACTCCTGGGCTCAAGCTATCCTCCTGCCTCAGCCTTCCAAATTACTAGGATTATAGATGTGAGCCTCCGTGCCCAGCCATACACTGAATTTTTAACAGTGGATATTGATATTGTATTCTTTATTCCTAGAAGTTCTTTTTTCTTTCTTCTTTTTCTTTTTCTTTTTTTTTTTTTTTGAGTTGGAGTCTCACTCTATCACCCAGGCTGGAGTGTACTGGCATGATCAAGGCTACTGCAGTCTCAACCTGCTGGGCTCAGGCAATCCTTCTGCCTCAGTCTCCCAAGTAGCTAAGACTACAGACACATGCCAACACAGTCAGCTAAATGCTTTGATTTATTGTAGAGACAAGGTGTCACCAAGTTTCCCAGGTTGGTCCCAAACTCCTGGGCTCAGATAATCCTCTTGCCTCTGCCTCCCAAAGTGTTAGGATTACAGGTATGAGCCCCACGCCTGGCTGGAAGTTCTATTTGGTTCTTTTTCAGATATTCTAAATTGTCTTTTATTCTTTCCTACAGATATTTTTATTTTGTTAAAATTTTTTCTTAAAAAATAAGCACCACACTTGTTTTACAGTCTGTTTCTGATCATTCCAATATTTTAAGTCTTTGAGGGTCTGTTTCTACTGGTTTTAACTTAGAGTGTCTTGTTTTTTCTATGTTTAGTCATTTTTATCCTTGTACTACTAATCAGAGTCCTTAAAAAAAATCTCAGAGATGCTGCATATTTTAGGATGAAGGTAACTTCCTCCAGATAAGTTTTTAGTGTGCCCTGTTGGGTGCTGAAGGCATTACCAAGTCAAAACATCTCAAATTAAATTCATGCTCAATTTCCCTCAACTACCAGCCCTTGTAAACCTGAGCTAAAACGCCTCACGAAAACCAGTTTATAGTCACAATTCTCAGAGACAGGATTTCTTCCCTTTTCTTTTTGCTCCTGCTACATTTAATAAAAAGACAACCAGGTGGGAGCAGGGAACAGTGTGCTTCCAATGTGCCCTTCTAGTTGGCCCTCACCTTGAGGGTAACGTCCTTCAGAGTTCCTTTGCTATAGAAAGGGTTTCCTTCAGGCTCTCTGCCTCGAGAGGGCTTGAGATTTTAACCACTGTTCTTTTTACTCTTCAAGTCCTCTGAAATCAAAGCCCTACCTTGTCTGGATCAGCAACTGTCCTCAGGGCAAAGGGCAGATTCCAATCCACTGTGTTTAAATCTCCTTTCCAGTTCCTACTTTCTGTAGATTTTGATCTAGAAGTTCCTTGCCATTTTGTCAGTTCTTTGATTTTTTTCTAATGTAACAATTTTAACTGTTTTCCATGAGGGGGTGACTGAGTAGAAGATAGTCCAAATAACCTACCCTACCATTCTCAAAAACAAAAAACCTTGCCATTTTTTCTTGTAAAGTTTGCCTGACACATTATTCTTTTCTTTTTTTTTGTTTTTTGAGTCGAAATCTTACTCCATTGTCCAAGCTGGAGTGCAGTGGTACGCTCACAGCCACCACAGCCTCAACCTGTTGGGCTCAGACAATCTTCCAAATAGTTGAAACCACACCACAGGCACGTGCCACCACACCCAGCTAGTTTTTTTATTTATTGTAGGGATGAGGTCTTGCTGAGTTGCCCAGCTGGTCTCAAACCCGAGCCCATGGGCTCAGGCAATCCTCTCACCTTGGTCTACCAAAGTGCTGGGATTATAGGTGGGAGCCACTTTATTTCATCACTTTGAGAAATTATTCTACTCTCCACTGGCTTTTATTCATGCTGATAAGACATCTGTTGTTAACCTAGTTGAAGTCCCATTTTAGGTATATAATTTCAATGTATGGATGTGGCTTTTTTTTTTTTTTAATACTGAATGGGACATATTGTGCTTCCTAAATCTATAGATTTCTTTTATTCGTTTCTGAAAAGCCTAAAGCTATTACTGCTTTGACTAATGTTTATCCTTCATTTTCCCTATTTTTTCATTCTGGAATTCCAAATACACATTGACTAACACTAACACCTCCCATCTCTCAGTGCTGCACTTTGGATTTCTTCAGATATGTTTCTGTTTAGTAATTCCGCCTTCATCTGTGTTTTAGCTGTTCAATCCATTTACTGGGTTTTTCGTTTCAACCTTTTTCACTGAAAGTTCTACTTGGATCATTTTAATACTTTGAGACTCCAACTCAAAAAAAAAAAAATTTTAATCTATAGAAATTCTGAGTGCTGGATGGAGTGGTAGCTGCCCATAATCCAAGCTACTTAGGAGGATCACTTGAGGCCAAGGGGTCAAAACTAGTTGGGGTTACATAGTAATACCTTCTTTCTTTTTCTTTTTTTTGAGTTGGAGTCTCACTTTGTCGCCCAGACTGGAGTGCAATGGCCGCTTCCGGCAACCACAGCCTTGACCTGCTGGGCTCCGGCGATCCTTCCGCCTCAGCCTTCCAAGTAGCTGG